TATATATATATATATAAAAGGTATGGTTGATAGTGTGTGAATTTTGTATTTGACAATTCATCTTAAGTTCTAAACAATTGGAAAAATCACTCAAGAAGGCAAATTACTCGAATGTTGAATCTAATTCTATTCAAACCACCGAGGAAACGTTATCTTTATTTGAAACATTCAGCTTAAAACCGTACCTCCTCACGAACTGGTGTCAAACGAAGGTGTGAGTAACTCTTAGTGGCTTTGGGTGAAGCAATGTCTTCAGCTTCGGAACCAGACTCTGCTGTAGATGTATCACTACCTTTTACCTGTAACCAAAAAAAAAAAATCATAATATATTAAGATCACTATGCCTTAAGAGAGAAAGTAAAAAATTAAATTAATTTAAAAAGAAAGAAAACATACCATAGAATAATGAGGCTTTGCATATACTACCTTCCCGTCACTGTTGATGATCTTAACAACTTGCCTTGCACGCCGTGCTTCACCACTAAGCACCATCTGCACAAATAAGTCGATGAGTCAATAATTATCTTACAATTAAAAAAAAAAAAAGAAAAAAAAACTACTACACTAAATAATAAATATAATCAATTAAATTTTCAAATAATCGGTGGTTAATAATGAGGACCTTAAGTATCTCTGGATTCTTCCATGGTCCTTTATCAGAAAGAAGGCATCCTCCTTGGTCAGCGCAAGTGCACATTCCTCCCAAAAAATCGGGCAATTGACTGAATAAGCCAAAGGAAAAGAAAAAAGATCAATAATCGTTCAAAGTAGGAATTTCAGGGATTGCTTATTTACAAATATACTCAAATAAAAAAGTTCAATCTCAACTCAAAATCTGACTCAGTTTTTAACTCAAACCCACATTACATCAGCTTTAATTCACTATTCATCAACTCAAATAATTTTAACAACCTATTGCTTTCAATCATCTATCTCCTACTTTTATATCAAATCAATTTTAATTATTTTATTTAAATATTATTTAATACAAAATTTAAAATTTCACTAACATAATTTTTAACTCAAGCCCACATCACAATAGCTTTAATTCACTATTCATCTACTCACATAATTTTAACAACCTATTCCTTTCACTCATCTATATCCTACTTTTACATCAAAACAATTTTAACCATTTTATTCTAAATATTATTTTAATACAGATTTAAAATTCCACTAACAACTAATTGTCTCAACTATTTCAAAATTAATCATGGTTAACAACCAAATGCCAATATATTTGTAAACAAGCAAGCCCTCAGTTTTTTTGTTAGCTAAAGATAATAAGTGTTATGTCTAACACTTTTATTACCTGGCATCAATAATTTCAAGCAACTTGTTCTGGTATTTATTCCCAAGAACCTGTGGCAAATTCCAGAAATATTAGAAACTAACCCGGGAAATTCCAGGAAAGCTTTTCCAAAAAAAAAAAAAAGTCGAGCGCTTTCCTTACATGAATCTTAGTGGCTGTCTTTGGGTCTATGAAATTCTTTACGGTATTCCAGAGTAGCCTAAAACCTGGACCGGCGTTAATGATAAACATTTGATGAAGAGTCTGCAAATCAAAAGGATAACGAGTGAATATACAATGCAAAAAAATAAAAAAACAAACATCAATAAATAAGAACGCTACAGAAAATCATGAACAACTTTACCTCAGGATAATTATCGCCATCAATCTTCTGGAGGCGCGTGATGAGCTCCCGAGCACTCTTGGTAAAGTTTTTCAAACCCTAATAAACAATAAAAAAAAAAATAATCAAACTCCTCAAAACTAACAAAATAAAGTTGAATCAAACGTCAACGAATAGTGGAACATAACATACCACGCCTTGAACGTCTAAAATTGTCGTGCTTGAATCAATGTGCCGTTTTGCAGCTATGGTGCAAGCTGGAAACTTAATGGCGAAACTTCTCTCAAATTCTTTCACATGGTATCTTACATAACGGTCCATAGTCGTTACTTGCATGAGTTTATTTGCATCAACTTTACCCAGCCTTTCGATGTATATTGGTCTTCCCTCTTTATCAACACCATGATAGCCATGAGGGTAATACTTCAAAACCTCACCCAGCTCTTTGAATTCAAAATCCTGATACAGGGGGAAAAAAATAAATAAATAAATAAATAATAATAATAATTAATAATAATAATAATAATAATAATAATAATAATAATAATAATAATAATAATAATTCAACTGATTTTTGTGTAGCTACTACAAGGAATTGGATAATATGTTAATTACCTCCAGAATAGTATCAGTACCAAATTCTCTCCTCCACTGAATCATATCAGCCCACATAAGCTTAGCTTTTTCAATATCGAACTTCCTTGCTTTCAGAAACCTACAAGTGAATTTCTCACAATTCAAAAACTGAACAAAGAACATGCAAAAGCATCAAGATTTCTCTACTGCTGAAAATGTACATTTCAAAGCAGAAAATTCATCGAAAAGAGAGAACGCATGCCAAAAATCCAAACATATAAGTGTAATATACTAAAAAAAAGGGGTGGTTAAAATTATCTCCCAGGAAATGACTGAAAAACACCTTAATATTAATAATTTGCAGTTTAAAATTTCGGAAAATCCATGAGCATTTTTGAGTTACCACCATAACATGCAGACCAACTATACATCCAGCTAATGCGCACATGACAGACTTTACATGAGAGGTTAACCGACTTTTCATCAGTCAAATGAGGCGTTCAAAAAGATGAAGGAGATTTTTTAAAACAAAATTTAGCAATTGTCAGAATATTTACCTCAACATCATATGGTAATCATCAAATTTCTCAGGTAGCAACTCATCCAATATCAGGGCTTGTCTAAAAGACTCAACAGCTTTAAGTTCTTCAGCATCTCGGATATCCTCAATCGAGACAGAACTGACTCTACCATCACTCTTTCTTCGGCCGCCTTTTTTCTTGAGAGAGTGTTTGAACTTGGTAGATGCATTGAGTGCTTTCTTTTTCAAAGAACCAATCCTCGTTCTCCTTTCATCCTCAGAATTTTCGAAATCGGACTTTCTTTCTTTTCTCTCATCACTACCAGATGAACCATCAAAACCTGTTTTTTATTGGACGAAAATTAGGAGACATTTAAGTAATGACTCGTTAAAATGGTAAAAAAAAACGTATTTCACAATATGATACAAATAAACTAGTTTTCACAAAATACTGAAAGGCTCAGCTCACAAGATCAAAACTCAGAACATTGATTTACTCTTTCAAACAAAGGGAATATAAGATTGTTCAGGGCCCAAAACTTCGAAAATTTAGGAACCGTTTTTTACTCTAACCGAGCACACTCATCGGTGATTGAAAGCGGAATTTAGACAAATTTTTAACCAAAAAAGAATGTCAACATGATCCCATTCGAACACACCAAACTAACAATGTGATATATGATAAATCACTTCAATTATGTGGAGCTCGAGATAGACCAATTCATAGCAAAAACAAAAAACCCTAGATGCACAAAGCTGAAATCTACCAAAAATGCAATAAATCGTAAATGCAGCTGAAAGGAATCAAGAAACCGTTACAAAGTTCCACTCACAAGGCCTGGCAAATCGATCCAAAGGTCCTGACATCGTCAATTTTGATCACCAGCAGGATGATCAAAGCGCTTATCGATTAATGAACAAACCACGCCAACTATCTGTTAACTGAAGGAACAAAACAAAGAACAATATTATCAGCAATACGAGCAATTTTCACGCCAAACAAAGAAAACCCATAATTCTTTTTCAGATCGGAATATCAAAACCCACGAGCTTCTTTATATGAAATTCAAACCTCCAAAAACACAGCCCAGAATCACGAAATCAATCAAACGGCAGTACTGCATCAAAATCCGCCGGGGTAAAAGCTTAAACAAACCAAAGAACACAATTTTCAGTAAAATAATCAATTTTCAAAAGAAAGCCCGTAATTCTCTTTCACATCGGAGTGTCGAAACCCATGAGCTTCTTCAAACTAAATTCATACCTCAAAAAACACAGCCCAGAATCACGAAATTAATTAGATGGATAAAACAAAACAAAGAACCCAATTTTTCAGTAAAATAATCAATTTTCACCCCAATCAAGAAAAAAACCCATAATTCTTTTTCAGATCCAAATGTCAAAACTCATGAGCTTCATTAAATTAAATTCAGACCTCCAAAAAAACAGCCCAGAATCACGAAATTCAACAGACGGCCGTAAAGCAACAAAACCCGCCTCGGCGAAAGCTCAAACAGCTGTCAGACTGCGACGGAGATAAAGAAATCAATTTAAAAAACAGATCGCCGGAAAATCGATACGAATTTGTATCGCCGGAAAAAATCAGAGCAGAGGCGATTTCAAATCGCAGAGAGAGAAAGAGAGAGGCGACAGAGAGACCCAAGTTGTAGTAGGTAGTATTGAGAGAGAGAGAGAGAGAGATAGTGGGGCCGGGACACGTGGCGGGCGCGTGACGGGAGGACGAAATCAGGCAATGTGCCGCCGGTGAGGATAGCAAAAGGGCAAAAGGATACTATGAACAGTCATTATATGCAATCATTATATTCGGTCCCGTGATTTCTGTACAGTGCGCTACAGTTTGAATAGGTAAATGAATGAGTCTGGGAATGCGCATGATTTGGCGCATGATTTGGCGCACAGGACCGTGTCGCTAAGTGGAATTATGAATCCGATTTTATTTTTATTTTTTTCAAATAAAAAAAAGGTAATTAATTTTTAATAAAATTGCTACACTATCAAGAAACAATATTTTTTTGCTTTTTGACTGGTTTGAATAAAGTGATCTTCTTGTACTCGAGCTCCGAGCTTCTAACGATCTGAGTTCAACTCGACTTATTAGTTAAACGAGTCAGTAATTGAATTCGAGCTCGAGGTCGTTAATCAGTATTAACAAATCGAGTTAAAATCTTAACTAATCGAATTATGAAAAATTATAATAAAATAAATATTGAGTTGAGCCGAGATCATCGACTCAACAAGCTTTGTTAAAAGAGTTAGATCGAGATTAAGAATGGCCAATCTCAATAAAGATATATAAATATGCTACGAAGTATGAAATATCATGTATTTTTTTTTTTTCGAAACAAATATGACGTTTCAATTTATGAATATACATATATGTTAAATGGATATAATTGTTATTTAACTATAAATTCTTATATAACTTGTATTTAACCTGGAAAATGATGCTTGATAGTCATCTGTTTAACTGCAGTTGAGGTAAGTAATCTCAATTAGCGAGTAGTATTAAGATGGAATAAATCAACACATCTGGATCCAAATAATAATTAGTATTCTAGTCTGTGCACATGCACATATGCAAATAAAATTTTATATGTTAAGTGTGTGCATATGTGATATTTAAATCATAAGTTAGATAATGAGCATATCAGATTTTATAAATTTTATCAGTAGTAAAAATAAACGATATAAATATAAACTATTAACTTACATATCAATCTTTATATTGATTGCAATAACATATTTTTTGCAATCTTTGATGATTTTGAACAATTAAATAGACAAAAAAAATAATAAAATTATTATTATTGCAATTGTGCATGAAATTTTAAAAAATAATTAGCTAATATTGATAAGAAAACTTGGTTAATGAGTTATAATAATATTAATAATAATAATAATATTATTATTATTATTATTATTATTATTATTATTATTATTATTATTATTATTATTATTATTTTAAATGAATAGTTTCGAAAAAAAAGTTTTTTATTACCATATTATTGTGACTTTACAATTTATTATTAGTGATTGTTACATAATAAAATAAACAAACAATATAAATATTTAATTAATTCTAAAGTAACAAAAAATGGAGGAAACCTTATAGAATTTTATTAAATTTATTGCTAGCAATTATATATGTATACATTTTATGATACAAAATTAAAGGGGTCGGTAATAACATATATTATATAATGGAGTAAAACTGATTTGTTTACAAAATTTTAGGATTTAGTGTCTTTCATTGTAGTAAGAGGCTGATGGAATTATTTGTGATGCTCTTTTTGAAAATTATTTATTTATTTTTCGTAGCATTAACTGACTATCGAGTAATTTTTTAAAGAAATGAATTTTTTTTATCAATTTCTTTACTGTTCTAGAATTTGTGTTGTGTTTTTGTTGTAAAATTATTTTGTCAAATTTTTATTAGAAGTGATAAAGACAATAAGTTTGATTTGGGAATAAAGACCATTGATTATTGTGATAAATGTATTAATGTTTGTCAGTCAGTTCAAATTTTATAGTAATAAATGTATTAAGTTAAATTTGTGTAGGATATTTGTGTATACAATGATGATATTTTTATTCAATGATGCATTAGTCAGTTTAAAATTTTATTAGTCGGTTCGTTGTAGTAAGAGGTTGGTTAATATTGTGTATACAATGATGATATTTTTATTGTATATGATATTTTTTTATCATTATAACATTTTTATCTCTTTTTACAAGTTGAGGTTGAAAATAAGGGTTGATGAAGTATTGATTTATTGTAGAGACTGAATTTCTAACAATTTTTATATTTGTAATTTTGGTGATACGGGACAATTTTTCTTCATCATTATTTATTATGGTATATTATTAATTTTAGAGAGTAATATCAAAATCAGTTTTATTTACTAAATACAAAATATCAATAAATTATTAAGAATAATATCTGAAATATTATTTGAAAATCAATTTTCAATTTGATGAAGTATTATTGATTATTGGGTTAATTATGTATTTATTATTAAAAACAAATGAATTAAAGGTGAATATAAAGTAGAATCAATATTGTAACGGTTTTGTATTAATGAGATTTGATAAAGAAACAAAAAAAGTCAAATGTAACTGATTTAGGCGGTAAAATGATTGAGATTTTATTAAATATTTTATTTAATGCATCTGCCAGCAATTATATATATATAGATATTAATATATTTTAAAGAAAACATGAAAATAAAATAATGTAATTGGTATTTAAAAAAAAAAATACCGCTTAACTCGCTTAGGAGAGCCTAGATCCGCCACCTATACCCACCTCGGCGCCGCCGAGCCCGCGAAGTCCGTCTAGGAACGCTCCGAATTTTTAGAAGTGATGAAAACACATTACCTCAATCAAATAAGTTATGGACAACAATCCCCCTCTACATGATTTAAAAACGTGCTGAGTCTAAATGGTTGGCTCGCATGCTTTGAAATATTACTGGGCAACATTACATGCTTCGTCTTTTGATTCGGATAAAAATTAATATTATTACATTCCAAATTTATTATGTTCGGACTTACTATAATTACATTCCTTAATTGTTTAAAACAAAATATTTAATACCAATATTAATTATATTCATTCCATAACATTCCATAACACAAAGGATATGGTTGTACACGGTCAAAATGTTAATTATATCCCCATTTTTTATAGTTATTTTATCTTAATATATATCTGTATACGTCTATACGGTTTCTTTTCACAAATTGTATTTACTTTTACCAAATTTTAAACTAAACAGAGTTATATTTTACCAAAAAGAATATAATTATTTTTAGATATTTTTTTGCCTTAATTATTATATAAATTTAAATCCCCGTGTGTAATTATTCCATAAACATGCATATATATATATTATTAGTGTATTGAAAAGAGTGGCCTCTAATTTATTGTATAACCTAGATACGAAAATAACAAAATGTTTTCTAGGTTCCAACAATTTTATAGATTGCAAGGAAAATGTTATTTTTTTCCATAATATATGTATATGTATATATATATGTATGTATATATACATTTTTACAAACTTACTTACTGTTGTTTATATGACTAATATAGTCCTAAAGTTTATTTTGAAATCTCACTTTTTCGAATTGAATGTTATGATCAAAATGATTAATATATCAAACTTTTATATATAATATATCAAATTAATCATGTCTTGATGGACTTTGATTTAACATCTTATTGTCCATATAAAATAAATAAATAATTTTATTTATATTAAAATTATTATCTATTAATATTAGTTTACAAAAATATAATTATTTAAACTAACTTAACCACAAAGTGATTACCTAATATAAATGAGAAAAATTTATAATATAAGGTGGCAAGTCGTGTAAGTGACGGTGTTGAATTAAATATAAATAATAATATATTTTAAAAAGGTATTTAAACACTAAAATTATTATTATTATTATTATTACTATTATTATTTAATTTGAAATGTGATTTTCTTAATAAGTACTCGTGTAGTACACGGATATTGTACTAGTATTGATTGATCCAGTTTGTTGAGGAATTAACTAACAAATATTAAAATTAACATAGCCTCTTGGGGTGTTTACCTGCTCCAATGTACCAATCAATTTAGTTATTTAATATAATGTTTAATATCAGATTTGATATTATAATGTAAGTATGGTATATATATAATATTATCAGCCAAACTTAAAATATGATTGAATAATGAATAGTATAAATGACAATTCTTAGACCACATGGATTAGTCTTTGTTCGGTTAGCTGTTATTGTATTCTATAAATGTAATAATTAAATAATTTAATTTTATTTAGAATAATTTGAT